TTTTCACATGTCATTAAGACACGTGAAGATCTATTTTATGATGGGGTTCACAGTTCTCTTATTTTGACCAACAACTTTCCTGCCCAGGAAATAGTGCAGAATGTGCAAGTTATTGTTTTGTTTCTTGTTTGGAGTTTTTGTTTGGTTGGAATTGATGTTTTTTCTCTTTGGCTCGAGCTGATATTTAGTGCTAGCATGCCTGGATACTTCCCTGAGGATTAATTTATCAAACACTAAATAAAACATGTCTTCTGACTGTTTTCTTTTTCCTAATGTTTATTTTCCATGCCAATAGAGATGTTACATTTTTTAAATAGAAAGTGGAGGGAATTCAAGAAAAAAGACTCAATAGGAGAAGAAAGATGCTGAAGAAATGAGGGATGGGGAGGCAGTCTATTGTGCACCAATATATCACTTTCTCTTGGGAGAATAAGGAAATGACTTGTCTATAAAATTCTCATTAGCCTAAAATAAGCAAAAAATCTCTTCTGGAATCTTATTATGCAATGTCAAAGTGAGTAATAAAGGCTTGTTTTTAATGGACTGCTGAGGACACTGGCTGAGCTTTAGCGCTACTAAACTGTCTCTTACAGTCCATTTCCCTATCTTCATATGATACTCCTCTGTGTTGGGGTGTTTGGGGAAGGCAAAAAAAGGGTCATTTAACAATGTTACTGGATTTGGAAAGACAAATGGCTTCCTGATTGTTAACTTGTATACATGCCAATAACAAAATCTGCTATAAGTTGCCTCTTTTGTTAGTCCAGTCCAGTTCTGTGTGAGGATGCTTGTGTTTGGATTAAATTGCTCTTTCAAATTAAAGCAACCAGAGGTTGGTAGAGCATGTTTGAAAGTAAGGTGCTGGAGTAAGGCATGTACACCTTTAAAACAAAGCAGCTAAATTAGAAAATTAGAATTGATGTAACTATTTTACAGTCTTTTTTTTCTTTTGTGCAGGACTGACTCAAATCTAGAGGATCATTTTGCCTTTATGAGGTGGCTAGAAGGGAATTAGCAATTTCCACTGCATATACAACAGTGACCGACTTCAAAGTATTCAGTGGTTTGGTTTGATTCAGATAAGCAACTTTCAGCTTGCGTGTTTATCCAGGACTTATCTGAGCTATTTGAGTTGAAGTAGGTAATAGGAACAAAACCTACAACCAACTGAAAGTTAATATTTTACATTAATAAAACACCAGCTATTTTTAAAGAAAGAATCAGAAAAAAAAACTGGGACACACTCCTTGACTGATATAAATCACCTTAGCTCCATTAAAGTTGATATGCACCACTGATATTTAACTACCTTCTCTATGTGGAATCCTAAAGGGATACCATATATTGGGGTATATGTCATGGGATCCAATTTACTGATTAATGTTGAATTTTCATGTACTCCTTAGAACATTCTCAGGCTTTTTGGGTTTCCCCTCTTGAAAACCTCCTCTGTAGCCCTTTATTTAAAGTTTTGGTGTATGTATTCAGGCAGAGTAAGTGGATGGTGTTTAAGTGACTGTGCTAAGCTCTGATCTTTCTTGATTTATTTTCTCTTGCTCTCCCTTTCAAATGGTGGATGGAGACAGTGAGTTAATGTAATAGTATTTCCAAAGGGAATTAGAGTGGCTTTTAGGAACCTGAAGTATGTTCTGCCATGCTCTCTCGTAGAAATTGACATCGGGGACTTTGCTGATGCCTTTGGACATGAGATACTCAGTGATTGCTACTTTCCAAGCCAAATATGGTGAACCTTTAAGCATGGGTGAGCTGGAATGGCTCAACTGAGCTGGCATATGTCGTGAGGCAGGTTTCACTCAGCTGAACTTAGGTGAGGCTCATAAACTTCCATGCTATGAGAAGGTGTTTTAGGAAACTGTGGCTGTGCTTGCATGTATCAGCTGAGAGATGTGTACATTGAAAGTGAGGTTCAGAAAAACTAGCCAGGATGTGGGCTTTGTTTCTTTCTCCTTTTGAAGAACAAAAGTGGGTGTAGCTCTGGGGCGTCCAAAGGGCAGAGCATTGGAGTACATCTCTCTCAGATACAGAGATTATAAAGCCCTTCCTTTTTACTTCTCTTCTGTTTGCCTGGCATTCGGTCTTCCTCCAGCTCTCACCAAGCCTGCTTGTGTTACTGGCTAACTCTCCCTTTGTGCTGTTTTCCTGCACTGGGCATCTTCTGAAATCCTGCTCCCACTGTTGGTTGGTGCTTGCATGATGCTGCTCTGCCTCCCTTACTCTGCTGGCCTGTGCCGAAGCTTGACATCAATCTTGGTGTCTCCAATGCTTCTCCAGGCTGTTCCATCCTGGTATTCAAGCTCTCCCTGCCACGGTTACTTCTGGTGTGCCTCCCTTAGTGCTGCCAGCACCACATATCAGCGACAGAAAGGGCTTGTGGGCAGGGGGAGTTTGGCTCCCCCCTTGCTGCTTTCCACAGGGGCAATGGCTGGTGCTGCAGGGCAGAGGATTTTGTAGCACAGCTTGGCAAGTGAGACCAGTGGTGACTGCATGGATGCACCACCTTCATGCTTTCTTGACCAGACTAATCCTTGAACTACAAATTTCAGTTCAATGTGCGCATCTGTACATGCAGATTAGCCCAGGGCCATTAGCTTTCTGACAGAGGAAATGTTTGTAAATTAAAGAACATAATTGGTGAACAAATATGCAAGGTATTTTGCAGTTGCTAGTTTCCAGCCTGGCCCTTGATTCTGCACAGTGCTGAAGATATCAGACCCATCTTGTAGAATACACACACACAGAGCACAGCTTATTCCATCTTGAGGGTCCAGCACACATGTAAACTCTTTCTCAAACTGGGATCAGTACGGCTCGGGCTTCTGCAACTTGAGGATGCTAAACCAGGTTGAACAGGCTCTGCTACTCATCTGGGTTTGCAGTGAGCAGTGAGACTGCACTTTAGCTGGATGTTTTTCAGAACAGGACTTCAAAACGGGTAAGAGGAGCTTAGGGCTTCCTGCATCTCTCTTGAAATGTTGGTTTGCCTGTGTGAGCACTCACACAGAACTGTATTTAATACGTGTGAATCTGAATATTTCTTCTGTTATTCAAAACTGGGGCTTTGCTACTTAAAAAGAAATACACTTTGTATCTTTCAATATTGATCAAAGATCAGTGGCTCTTAGGCTACTGACCAACTCCTTTCAAAACAGACCTGTTTCAGCTTAGGCAAGTTAAATAGCCACATCATCTGCAAATTTCTCTTGTGTTGCTTTGTTTTTAGCCTGGAAAAAACATCTGAATACTGCAAATCCTGAAGTACAAGTCTTCTGTTGTTTAAGATCTTAACTGGAGGCAGTTAACACATTTGAAATTGATCTTTATAAACTAGGTTTCCTTTAAATTTTGGGTTGAATTCCAAATGATTCTGGGGGGGTTTTCAGTTCCTCAGCAGCTCAGAACTGTGACCCTCAAGCTTTCTTACACAGTTTTGCTGATGTAGTTTTATAATAGATTATTATATTGTGTTAAAATATAAATTAAAACTATAAATATAGGTTAAGAATTTAATATTTACATTAAAATATTATAAATATTCATATTTAGAAATGATAAATATTTAATAAATAAAAAAGATAAATTAAGACTATAAATATATAATATATATTTTCTAATATATTTGATATGTTTACAGTTATTTTGCTGATAACGCACCTTAGTTTTCAAAAGGGCATAAAATGGAGCCCAAAGCAGTTCAGGTCAGTGCACCCTACACAGAATAGAATGACTTAGAGTAGCTGCTGAGGTGGAATGTGGGAAGAGGATGGTGCTGTGTGCATCACTGGCCTGACTGTAGTTTTGTGCTTGGTAGATCTCTGTAGAAGTCTGTGTTTCAAAGCCTCTGGCAAAACTCCTCTTGGTTTCACAGGCTCTTTGATCAAGCTCATTTTGGATAAAATAGACTAGGAAAAAGCCTTTGGAGCAGTAAATGGAAAATGGGCATTTTTCCTACAGAAAACAGCATATGTGTTGATTCTAATTGTATTTATTTGTTTCTATATTTATTTCAGAAACACTTTCGGTCTCCAAATAATTAATTTTTAATTGAAACAATTTTGCATTCATAAACCATTTTGAAACAAATATTTATTCCACTCAATATGTCTTTTCTAGTTGTGCATTTCTGTTGAGCTCTTTTATTCGTCTTTGTGTTCCTTTTTGGGTTTCCCTTTATGCAGAATACCAGAAAAGAGTGAAAAAGTGGGAAGGGAAGCTAGGAGGAGCATGTAATAGAAGTGTGTAAAGTAATGTTTATTTTATTTTGAACAAATGGCTCAAGGAAGCTTCATTTTGCACAAAAAAGTGTGTGCTGAGCCTGTCCACAGGCAAGTCAACCTATTTTCTGTTAACAAAGTTGTCATGTAACACAGAAAGGCATGTCAAGCCAAACCCTGGGGGACTCCGAAATGGCCCCACTCGGAGATCCACTTCCCGCACAGAAAAGCTTGATGACTTAGTTGGTGTGGATGTTGATCCCTTCTGTCATGGAAGTGAAAAGGCATAAAGGAGGGGTAGCTCTGCTGATGTCAGTTTGTCCATGCTGAGCTTCCCTGACTGAAAAGCTCTTCCCAGAGGGTTTGGTTAATGGATGAGGATAGCATGGCCAGGCTGGGATGCTGAATGTTTCCAGCTCTTCTCTTGCCCTCTCTCCTTCCTCTCCCCGCTCCATTAAGAGTGGCAGAGGAGCTCCTGCATGGACTGCAGAATAAGCACCATTTTTGTGTAAATTGTCACTAATTTCCCTTTGCCTTGAATAGTCATAGTAAGGAGTTTGGCCAGTCAAGCACTAGAGCAGATGGTGGTGGTGCTGCCAGCCCTCCCAGGACATGATCCTTCTTGTTGGTCCCAGCTCTATCTCTTTTGTTCACCCATGAGAGAGAGGATGGGTTGCATTTAGGATGCTGCTCTGTGATTTTCAGCAGCAGCCTCCTATGCCATCACTGTGTTCAGCTGAACTGATGTGCTTCTGTGTCTTCCTCTAGATTGCAGTTTTGGAGGAAATACATACAACAGCTCTATGAAATGGCACCACCCCAGCAATCCCTGTGTTACATACCAGTGCCAGGTAAGGATGTCATCAGCATCGTGCAATTGGAGTTGTGAGCTTTTCCCATGAAATTCTGAGACTTTTTTTTTAGCTGCTTCAAGTAACCTGAAATATTTTATTCCCAAAGCACAATATGGACTTTGCATTTAAAGTAGTTTAAATCCCTCAGATGAGGCTAGCTATAACCAAACATTCAGGATAGATTTTATGTGACTTGAGTACCACTGCTGAAGGAGAGAGGCACAGCCATGCCATTTCCTGCTGTCTTGATATTGAAATAAGTCCTCTTTTTCTCAGCATGCTAAGCCTTTTGTGAGATACCAATTATTTTACTAAGTAGTATTTCACTAAGCAGACACTTTTGTGTTTATGGGTTTTACCTGGGATGTTCTTTTAAGAGAAACCCACAACAGGATCTTCTTTTCCTGGGCTCCTGCACTGGAAAATACTACTACCCAGTAGTATTTTTGGTATCTTGTCTATCTGCTACCATGGCATTTGCAAGATTATCCATCTTCCAGCACAAAGCAAGGAAGCATGTAGGAAATTTTAGTTTCTGTCTGTGAATAGGTCTGGCATTTTTTGGTGACAATTTGATCTGGTTTTAATAGTAACACTCAGGCAGCTACTAAGAATTGCAACTGTTGGAAAGAGAAAAAATGCATGAGTATGAAGTGTTTCTACAAACTAGAGAAGAGAGTTTCAAGATGTTTCTGGTTTTCTGTGATGCTTCTGCTCTGTGAAACACACCTGTGTTTGTAAAGAGACATACACTGAGAAGGATGACGTTAAAGCAGCTGTATTCTGTATTTTTGCACTTAATGGAAAGATACAATGTGAACTCAGATACTCTTACAACTACTAATTACATGAAATGAACAATTCTTTATTGCCTGTTTTGGCGCTTAAATGCAAAACTGGGTGATGGTGTTTACCCTTGATCCACACGGTTCCTTTGGCTTCAACTGCAAAACAAGAAAATAGCAGCCTTTTGTACACAGATACTCACACCCAGATTTGTTCAGGAGGACTCTTGACTTCTCCAGCAAAGAGTACAGGAAATGTTAATTTGCTAATACTTATCAGGCAAAGCATCAAAGATAAGCGTCTCCCCTCTACAGAGCAAGATGCTTTTATCTGCTTTCTAGGCCTTTTTAACTCCAAGGGGAGAGGGATGAGAATGCCTTGTGTTTGGCCTGTGTTCACCAGAGTTGCATGGCAGATTACTGAGCCTGAGGATTCCTGATAAATCGGGATTCCTTTTCCTAAGAAGGTGCTTGTTTCTTACCTGATGCATTTTAAGGCAAATCCTGTGACTGGAGTCAGAGAGACTCAAGTGGATCTTTTGACTGTGGATTAACCTGAATTCCTGATACAAGGCAGCAGGTACAGAAAGAAAAGAGGTTTTGAAATCCAGTGCTTTGTGGCATGTGCTGGGCTTTAATTGTACCACTAGTAGTAGTGGATTTTTGCTTGTTAAAGCAATCTTAACACAAACAATGAACATGTCTGATCTGCTTCTTTTTCAGGAAGGAGTGATAGTAGAGTCGGAGGTACAATGTGTTGTCCCTTGCAAAAATCCTACCAAACTCATGGGAATGTGTTGTCCTGTGTGTCCAGGTGAGATTTCGTAGGAAGATGCTGTGCCACATGTGCAACTGTATTTCTAATGATAAGCATCATTGTCTGGGAGACTGCCTCTAACTTCTCCATTGTACTTGACAAAAATGGAGGCCAATGGCTTGCAATCCATTAAATGACAGACCAGGCTTAATATCTTTTAGTGGAGCTCAGGCAGACTATTGCATAGGCAATAGCTTGTGTCAATATCCACAGGTGTATTTATGTCGTTTTTCAGAGGGTCTGTCAGTTGGATTTTCCTGGCTGATGGCTGGGGTTGTGTTAGGAGGGAAAGTATAAGAGTAATCTTGAAAAAGAAGACTACCTTTGTGAGGCTAGCTGCTAATTAGAGACTTTGTAGGTAGGCACTGCTCCACTTGTGATACAATGGGTTTATTATATTCTAATCAGTTATAATTTCTGCCAATGTATAAGCTTGGAGATAAGAACAAGTAGTAAAAGATAAACAACTTCTAAAAGTGTTTTAAAGCCACTTTCAATGGGAGACCTGACTTAGTCTGGACTTCATTGGTGCAGATTTGTCCGCTTGTAGAAGAATTTTTTCTTTCCCCAAAAAGACATCTGGGGGTTCTCAAGGCCTTTGTAAAGGCTTCTGAAGTATTTGTGTCAGAGAGGATGGTATGATTTACATTTCATATTGTCCTATGGTGGGGTTATAGGGTATTGTTACAGAGAAAAGGCAGTGTGCTATCCTGAGCTACACTTATCCAAATGCTATTTTCCAGGTTGTATATTTGAAGGGAGACTTTACAATGAAGGAGAAGAATTTAGGCCTGAAGGAAATAAATGTACCAAGTGCTCTTGTATTGTAAGTATTTGCCTCTTGGCATTGTATCTACCTGTATGAACTTCAAAAGGCATATTATTATTGCCATAACAAAGCAAAAAATATAAGGAATTCAACACTACTAAGCATTCGTCTCCTAGAGCTCAGTTTTCTATTGAAGACTTCACTGTACTAATACATTCTATCACTCATATTCTGAATTTATCATCTTTTTTTATGAACTTACACTGTACACAAAGCATGGTATTTGGAAGAGGCTCAATGTGTTAAATTAGTGATGCTTTTTTTTCTGTAGTGGGATCATGCAGGAGGAGACAGAAAGCTTTTTGGGCTTCATCTATTGATCAACATTTATTAGGTGTTTCCTTGAAAGGATCTTTTGCAAGGATTCCTTTCAGCTCTATGTGGTGAGGGCCTTTTCTCTGAATTACTGAGTGAAAGGATAAGGGTAGCCTCCTTAGGCTGTCCCAGGTGGATTTTGTCTTAATGCTTAATGAAAAGGTCATATCCTGGAATTTATTCTTGACTAGCAACAATATAGAGAGGAAGTAATAATTGCATCCTTTGGGTAATGAGCACGGGCTTCTCTTTCACTTCCATTAAGTTTGAAAGATAATGCTATATGAGTTGGGGCAGCTAACTTTGACTTCCTTGGTGTGATCAGTGAGAGCACTAAAATGCAAAGTTCAAATCACTGCTTTTGTTGCAATTGATGAGCTGGTTATCAGCAGAAAATGCAAGGCTAGGGAATTTGCATTTCAGTAGCATACCAAGAGTTTTGTCAGTACCAGGCACAGCTCTCCTGCCTCATGAAAATAAAATAACAAAGGGAGGAGAAAAAGATAGAACTCAAAAATTAATATGTGTCTGTACGTAGACACACATACATACTTGTAATGAAGCTGCTGCTTTCCCCACTCTTGTGGGGAAAAATACCTGGTGATGTGCAAAATTAATTCACACTAAATCATCACTGCTGTTGTGGAGAATTGGGCTGCTCAAGTAATTGTGTTCTGTTGTTCTTTTGATGTAGGTATTTATTTGTTTATTTATTAAGTTTTAATCCTGTAATAATGAAAATATGCCATCACAGTGATACTATATGCCTTGGGCTTCAGTTCCGTCCCAGGCTGAGGAAAGTTGCTCCCTCTGTAGTTGGTTGGTCCCCAGCTCGCTTCAGCTTCAGCTGTAAAGCAGTAGCTTTCCTTAGTCATGCTCCTCAGGGGAAGACAGGTCTGAATGGCTGAGAAGTCTGTGGAGACATGCTTGAGTATTTTCAGGCTGTGCTTTGCTCTTTTGTAAGTGCTGTACAGATACTGCCTATTGCCCAGATGTTGGTGTGCCAATATCTCCTTTATCAACTTTCCTTTGCTCCCTAAGTAACAAAAGTAACAGTTCCAAAAAGAACATGGGAGGTGGGAGATTTTTAGGTAGAGCAATATAAAGAAATATAGGAACATAGGGTCAGACCTGAGGGTCTGTCTGACAGTTACCAGTGTCAGCTATGTTAGAAAAGGAAACACATCAGCTACTGATAGTGAGACATGTAAAGTATCAGGTAAGAGGCCTAATGACCCCTTCTGAAACAGAAGGCATGATGGGTTTGGATGTTCATGACAGCTGTATAAAATGTCCATCTCTAATGCTGAATGTTACTGACAACAAGAAATACCATCTATGCATAAGCTATACGTGTCCCGCCTTGGCTCTCTCTGCAATGCCTTTTTTTACCCTCTCACCCTTTTCCTTCAGAATTTGGGAATTCCTGTGCAATTTAAATGCAAAGCAAATAACAAGGGCATCCTGAGGGCTGTGATAGCAGCTTGGTGCCTGCTTTATGTCCGTTCCCTTTTGGGAATGGGTCCCCAGTTAATCTCTTATCTAAGCAGCTGGTGGATGTCTTATTTAGAGATACATATCTAGCCATGCGATGTGATGGGAACAGGCTTGTGTGCGATGTGCTGCAACTTGTGGATGCTGTAACAGACGAAAGGTAGCTCCTCACTGCAGATTTCTTCTGGGATTTCAGATTGTAACTGTTTAGTGAGTCTTTTGTGGAAGTGCAGCAGAGGAAGTGGCATGGCATATATTATTGCCAAGGTATGTTGGGGGAGTGGTGTAAGGATTCAGGCCACTTTCACTTAAAGGTGAATTCTGCTTTTTTCCTGGGAGCAAGCTTTTCTAATGGTGCATTATTCTGGACTCCATAGGCCATCGTTGTCCCAGGCATAGCTCAGCCTGAGGCTGCAGGCTGCATTGAACAGGAAAAAAGTAAAGAGGGATGGCGGAGGTTTGTATTCCTGGAGAGATGTAGCATTGTTCCCCATTCGCTAAATGTATTAAAATGAGGAATTACTTAGAAAAAGGGAATTTTACCATTGCAGAATGCACTTTAAAGCACATTTCAGCAAGGCTGAACTGCAGAGCACAGTCTTTGGAAAGCTCTTTGGTAGTTCAAGTTTGTGGTATTTCCAACTCGGAGCAGTGCCTACTAGATACTGTTGAGCTCCTAAAGAATGTGAAATGGTTGATAAGATTTTTTTTGTTGTTGGTTTATCATGCATGGCCCCAAAGGGTAGGGAAAGCAATGGTGCGGCTACACACGGGTGCTTCACTTGGTCCTTACCTGCCATGCACTCAACCAGTTAATACAGTTTCTGTTTAACACCACTTGTGGTTCTAGTTAATGTCTACTGAAAACCAGCCCAAACCCACTAAACTCATTTCATGGAGGTCACCGAAACAACCCATTAGCTAACAAGTTTTGGGTTGCTACTGAGCCAGGCTATGCTTGTGGCAGCAAGGCAGAGATGAAAGCCCTCGTATTCCATTACCGCTCTCTGGAGCTAGCTGCTCCTTGGGGCGACTGAGACTTCTTGCTGAAAATGAAAATGTATCACCTCTCACTCAATGCATATTGCCTGTCAGGGGCAAATGAGCTGGCTTTTAATGACTCAGGTTCTCTGGGGAGAGGCATTTGTGTAAGAAAGGTGGACGGGATAATAGGGATCTCCTCGTAGCCCAGCTGAAACCAGCTGTATCGCAATAATTCATCTGCCTGGCCTGTTCCTTGCTTTCTGTGATAGGCCAGCAGCCTGTTCTAGAGAAACCTTGGATATTTTCCCTACCATAAGCACCTACTTAAGTGAAGGACTGGCCGCTTTAATCAAGTGTTATTTCTCAGATACCACTTTTATGAGGTTGAGAGTGTGTTTCTGCTTGCACAGTAAAAGCACTTGGCTTACATGTTCCCTTTCCTACCGCCTGCATTAAAATAGCCAGACTGTGATTATCTTAAATGTTTTCATTTTCTCTTTTGATGTAGTGTGTTGGGGAAAAAAAATAAATAGTGGAGGTGGAAGGAGAGGGAGACAGGGAGGAGGGGAGGAGAGGGGGTTTGGCAGGAGAGTGACCTTGCATGAGACTGGTAACCATGGAGAAGCTTATCTCTGAATGGTAGAATCCAAGCTCATAACTAGCCCCATTTGACTCACACCCTTGTTACCCAGACCATGGGCGCTGTGTGTTTCGGCATGCGAGGCATGCAGTGGTACGAGGTACCACCATGCTGAGAGCATGCAGCACTATGGAGATGCCGCAGCCCAGGTCCCGTCTTCTTCCACACCCCTGCTTGGAAACAGAGGTTTTATTGCTGGATTATGGCATTGCTGGGATGGCCAAGGGCTGGAAGCAGGAAGGGTTGCACTGTCTGTCTGCCCTGCAGGGAGGCTGACAAATCAACACGTTCAATTATACCTTTGCAGATGAAATACTGCATCTATGAGGCAGTGGAACAGGATGCCCATAGAAGCTGTGGCTGCCCCATCCCTGGCAGTGTTCAAGGCCAGGTTGGATGGGGCTTGGAGCAACCTGCTCTAGTGGAGTGTGTCTCTGCCTGTGGCACGGGGTTGGAACTGAATGAGCTTTAAGGTCCCTTCCTACCCAGATCATTCTGTGAGGCACGGTTCAGGGATGACTGTTGGCAGCGTGGTCATAGATGTTTGGTCCACAAGCAGCATTGTTTCATAGAAACAATGCTGGCCTCTTAGGTGCTATTCCAAAACAAGTCAAAGCAAGTGAAACCCAAATGACCTGAAGCAAAGCATGGGAATTTGGGGCCCTTGGAGAGACAATTTAAGAACTGCCTCTGCTTGCTCTCCTTTGCATCACTGGGGGTTTTACACTGCTGCTCAGGTGGGCTCAGAGGGACTCAAGATGCACAGAGCTCCTGGTCTGCAGGTGTACTTGTGGGTCTGTACAGGAAATGTCTTGTGTACTTATGTTCCTGAGTGCTAGGGTGCAAAAACTGCATAATGAAAGTTTTGCACAAAGAAAAGGAAATAGCACCAAGAAAATCTGTTTCTAAATCAATGAGTAACAGGCATTGCAACTGTGATAAGTAATGAGAAATTACATATGTTAGTGCTTTGGACACAGAGGGTGGAATTCATCTTGTCTAACTCCAGCCATGCAGAAGTAATGTCTGCTCTGATCTCCTTATCTGGGCTCCTCTTAACAGAAGGAGAGAGGTGGGATGGATTACTCTCTGCAGATGCCTATCTTCCTCCACTAACTACTGGGGGAGCCTACCCGGCTCCCTGAGATGGCTGAAAATAGCTGAGACAGATCATGCCCTTGCAGCCAGCTGGGTGATCAAGCACCCTGATACAGCTTTAAAGGCTTTACTTCAACAGGTATTGGGAGCTGCTGAAATACATTCCCGTCTCAGTGGACTGCAGGGGATGTACTCCAATCTACTGGGAAACTCAGGGGAACACGCAATTAAATGTATCCTCAGTGAAGCCTGGTAGCAGAAGCTGTGTCCAAGTTCAGATTTCTGTCCTCAGTGCAGTGCCAAACACTGATCTTCCCAAATTTCCATGTACTCCAGCTGCTGCGAGTCAGCTCCAAACTCCAGCAGATGCTGTCTGCCCCTACTTCAGGGGCTAAGAAGTAGTGACAGAGTTGTAAGCCAGGGGTAGAAAAGCAAAGAGCTAGTCTTTTGGTAGGAGGACTGTTCA